TTCTCGAAATACCACGTATCTTTTATTTTCACTCGCGATCCACTCCGATTCCGCCTGGCGAATTCACAACAGCGTCGCGTCCCACCCCCCTCCTCTTAAACTGTTATGCGAAACTGTTATTACCTCTTAATACAACCTCGAAACAAGTTCATTTCTGGAACAAAAAGCGGTGAAAAGGCGGAAGCGGAGCTATAATAAAGCAGCGCGCGACACACGCGGTGTAAAGAAAGAAGCGGGGATTAAGAGGAGAAGGGGAGGGGAAAAGAATATACGAAAAGACGTCTGCACTTAATTTCGCAGCGCTAATAAGGTTACAACGGAAACAGTGCTTTCGCTTTCGCGTGTAAGTTAATACACGTTAAAAGCGGGAACGCTTTTCGTACGTAGCTGCAGAAACAAAGATAAGTATATTAAACGGATTTCAAGTGCTTTCTGTTGCTGCGGCAACAAAGATAAGTGCATTAAACGGATTTAGTTTCGAGGCCTGGGAGAAGATGACGAGCCACTTTGTTAATTGAGTTTTGCCCTTACGGTACCGCCTGTATACTTCTCCCCCTCGGGGGGTATTAAATAGCACGGGCTGCATTAGCCCGAGCTCTATCGACGATACTTCCGGCATCGTGGAAACCGAAGAATATTAATTATTCGATTCAACGATCCCCCTCCTCCCCCTCAACCATCCATCCCCTAGCTATCTTCCAATTACCATTTCGGATAATTGCTCAACTTTTCCAAGGATGACAAAATAAGATCTCGATCGATAGTCCTCCCGAGTGTCTTCGAGTAATCGTCGATTTTTATATACATCGCCAATTTTTCTTCCACGAAGAAGGGAACAAGTTTCGCCATTATCCTCGAGATATCCTCTTCGCTACGCACACACACAGCTCGCGCGAAAAAGAGACCTCACGTTGCGTCTGCGAAATCAGCGCAGCAACCCCGTAATTATCCAGACTTCCGTGAACTCTGCAAACTTCGGTATTACGAGATTCAAATCGAATCGCAGAAACTCGACAGAATGTCGCTTCTCTGCATCTGGTGCCGACAATACTTGCCGCTCGGGCGCGAATCAACGTAAAATGTCTCGCCAAGAAGCGAGTTCGCACAACTTCCCGACCTCCTTTACCGTATTTCACCCGATTCTTTCCGACACTCGCGCGACACTCTCCCCTCTGTTGCTTCCTCGACTTTTCTCGCGTCTCTTCTCCTCGATGATTTCGTAATTCGAAGCCGTTACTCGAAACGGAACACCCAGATCCGAAAGGGGTGTCGGAAGAATTCAAATTCCGCGAAAGAAGGAAAAAGGAGAGGGAGGGAAAAAAACTTTTCCCTCCGAATCTTCACGATTCATCGCCGAATACTCTCGTCTCCTATTCGCGAACCAACGGTCAAAGGGAACGGTTAAAAGTTTCCCCTTCGGGGCCGAGGATTTCATACGAGACGAGACCAGAATCGAGGATTAAAAACGTTAATGGCGGATACGTATCAGAGGGTAATAGGTTCGCGGCAACTTTTAATCTCTCCACCACCTTTTTTTTTTTTTTTTTTTCAACGAGAAAAAGACGAGTTTCCCGCAGACCGCTCCGGACCCGTGGATAGTTAAATTCGTTTTCGTTTCGTTCCGTATTTCCTTCCGTTTCGTTCATTTTTTCCCCCGATTCCGGGATCGCGGCCGGGTTTTCGAGCTATCCCGTTAAAAGGTGACAAGCCTGCCGACCGCGAGTCGATCGGACATTTTATCACACGCGTTTATCACACGGATCCAATTTTATCCCGAAACTCTTTCCACTCTTTCTTTTATCGCGAATATGCTATCGCGAAACGTCCAGAAAACGAGCCAAACGATATACACGTGTAGTTGGATTGGAAAAAATCGCACGTTCGAAGTTAATGACAATTATTACATACGCGAGAAGACAGCACGTGAGAAAGCACGATCCCGAATTAATTAAATCGAACGCATTGTCCCCGCGGGCCATTTACCCGAGAGTGTCTATGAAGCAGCTCCGCGCCTCGAAGGGAGTCATTACGAAAATTGATACGGATCTGTGGGAAAGCGGCGGTAACCGGTTCATCGAGCGAAGTCTGATTAAACAGAGGAATAGGAGGAGGAAGGGACGAAAAGGGGTTCCGAAAGTTGGAGAACAAGTTGGAGGGGGAAAGGATCGAAAAGATATCGAGAAAGGAATTCGAGATTGGCGCCGACCACCACTGACCACCACCTTCAACAGCACTTTTCGCAGTATGCCCGAAAAAGGAGGACACCTTGCAACACCTTGCCCTGCCTGTTTCCGCACCATGGTTATCAAAGGGAGGAAGAGAGGATAAAACGGAGCGGCCAACTAATCAGACTCGGGCCAATCCACTCCGAGCCGTTTCCCCGGAGAAGAGGATGTTTCCTCTCGGCGGACAGGATAATTTAAACTTTCCTAGGCAACCACGATGCGCACCGTGTATGTGTCCACCGCTGTGTCTATCTCGATCACTCCGCTAAACAGAATTAGATACGAGCGTCAAATTCAAACGTTAACCACTACAAAACTCGCGGATGTAACGGACGAGCGACCCTTGGCTGCGTTTTCGTTCCGTTTCTCCTCGCCGCGTCGTTACAACATTTCGAACCGAAAATTATTCGCCACCCGAGTTGGAGCTGGCGCGAATGTACGGAACGATGCGACCCCGAACGACAGAAAAAACCGACTACGTATAACTAATCCGAGAACGCGCGAGAAGATAATTTAAACTTTCGTTTCGAATATCATTCGAGTTTAATTACCGGCTGGCTGTCACGAGCGGATTAGCTTCGTCGTACCTGGTCTTATCTCACTCGTGTGTATAGATGCGGAGGGAAAGGGAGAATACACTCCCGGGATCTGTTTCGAACTGAAATCAGGGCTTATTGTGCTACAAATGAGGACACCGTCGCTTGAATTCCGTTGTTGATGTTACCCATTCTTTCGAAAATACATACGTGTATATAAATATACGTTCGGTCACGGAACGTGTAAATAACGTGCGGTATCTTCGTGTATGCGGTATCCAACAAGGAGATTCATCTCGAAAATTCTGATTTTAATGAAATTTCCATCCGTTGTTTCGTCTTTTCAAATACAAAATGTGACGACGGTGAAGACAGGATTATCTCGCTTCGTCGCGTCTCATTAACGTATAACATAAACTCGAATCGAGCTCGAACGTATCGTTTATGCACGATGTATCAATCTCTCTATATCGATCTTTCGAAGTGTTTCTCGGGATGTAAATTTTCACCGAAGCAGCCGACGTATCCTCGATCGAACTTTCCTTCCCGTCTTCCCGTTAAATCTCTTCCACTAACCCACGTCGCGTCGTTCCACGTCCACAAATCCTCTCCAAGCCCACTTCGAATGTTCAATTAAGGTGATTCTCCGGTATTACGGAGAATCGAATTCGATTAAAATTAAAATTCGTTAAAATTCTAACGTTTCGGCTGTAATACGCTCTCCGTGAAACGGAAGCGGAAAAATTCACACAGATCGCGGAAGAAACCGAGGCAATTTAACTTTGAGAAAGCGTGTTCTGTGAATGCGACCAAGGCTTTTGACGAAAGCAAGCGTCGTATCGATGGTCAGGAGGAAAGGACTTTACCGCAACTGCTTCCTAACGGAATACATTACTCCTTAATCCGTTTCTGGCGCTCGGATAAAGCGGATAGGAACGAATTCGGTGGCACGTCGCAGCTTTTAACGCTGATCCAAAAACATTTCGATTTATAGAGCGAGAAAACGTGTGTTTTCGAGTTATCCGCCTCTCGAGAAAAACTTTCCACGCTCGTATGTAAAGCAACATTTTCACGAGCGACGTCATCGGTTGGTTGCCTCGATCGATCGAACTTCATCGTACGATTAAACGAGGTGAAACATCGTTTTATAATTTCCATCGGGGGAAAGCGAGCTTCGAACGGTCTCTCTTTTTCGATTCGAAAAATTCTTCTTCCAGTTTCGATGAAACTGGATCCCCGTGTAACGAGTTTAACGCGGAAAAAAGTACACGCGATCCATACATACGTATATATATATAACTAACAATGGCCCGTAAAAGAACGTAAAGCTCGAAACACGTTCCCGCACGCAACACGTGTACCGCGCGCGAACACGGGGGTGGTTTTTCCGAGAGGGAAGAAAAAAATCATTCGTCTTCCTTTTATTCCCGTATTCGTAGGATAGTTTTCGCGCAATAGACCCGCCAGTAACCGAAATTCCACGCTTACTGCGCCACGACCTCTCCGCGAATGTACGATACGATAATAATACGCGGGCCGCGTACGACACGATGTTTACGTTTACGCGTTGCCTCGAATCGATGGAAAGGGCAATGTGGCGCGGAGACGAGAATTTTCAAATTTAGGAAATCGTAAACCACGGAAATTTCGTTATCCAGACGGGGTTATCGCGTCGTGGGCGTTTAAAAGTATCGGGCGGAGGGGGAGGAAGGGAAACGAGTCAACGATTTATGAGGCTGACAGTCGCCCTTTAACATCTTTATTTCACTGCCATTCCCCGGTTGCCGAATATTTATCGGCGGTCCGTCCATTTTTCCGTGTCTCGCGCAGCTACAAAATGCCCTCGTTAATCGAGAGGCTTACGTCAATTACGCTAATGAGCGGCCCGGAACGAGCGCGGACGGCCAACTTACCATTATTCGGAAAATTAACGCTTAAACCGGGCCCCCTCCCGGACGCGCTATGAATCCGTTTAAAGGCACGCTCCGCTTCAATTTTCCGTTTCGAATTCAACTTTGATTACTCGTTTACGCCGAATCGAATTATCCCCTCGTTCACCCTTCCCTCCCTTCCTTTCCCCTCTCTACCTACCATCTACCGAAAACGCGTTTCGAATTATTACGATGTTTTTACGATGCGAGTTTTTGCGAATTTTTGCGAATAAAACTCGTCGATAAAATTTCTAATAATTAAAGAAATTTGATATTTGGGTGATACGGATATGGATGAATCAACTCACCTCCGCTTCTTGGCGTGTCGGTAGGACCGGACCGTTGTCGCAACCCTGAAGCAAAAAGGAAAGAAAGAAAAATTACATGCTTGTTTTATATCAGTTTCCGAGAGAAAACTGATCGCGAACGAGTGAAACAACGAGTGGGAGGAGGAGAATTAAATTATTCTCCGCGCGAGTGGATCCAGAAACGAAAAGATCCACCGAGATCTCTCGATTTCTAACGGTGGAGCGCGCGCCCTCCTTCCTTTCTTCTCCACCCCGTAACATAATAGGTAAATTAATTTTCAGAAATATTCGAAAATTACAGCGAAACTTGGCCGACCGTGGAGAACACTCGAGTAAAATGTACTCGATCGATCCTCGTCCGTAAGCTGATGCGCTCTCGCATTTTAATGAGTCTCATTTTTTTAATAATTAACGACTGTTCCGGCGGGAACCGGATCGCTTTTTCACATCTTCGTTAGAATTAAAATTCCCTCGAATTGAAAAATGGAACGACGATGGAACAAGGATGAATCTTCGAATTACGAGAATTCCTCTCTCTCTCTCTCTCTTTCTCCTCCGTTGAAAAAGGATAAGGGAAAAAAAAATAACTTTTCACGCGATAATAGATCTACTTCCGAAATCACTGAAACAAGAGAACAGATTTATATAGCACGGAAAAAACCAAACCAATTCGACTCCAACTTTATCGCAACTGATCGCTATTTTCGAATCGACGAATTTTTTATTTTGACAGTCCGATGAAAGGCAGAATATACGATAGAAATGAATGAAAGATGCGTATTTCATTCTTCCAAGAAGTAAGACGGACATCTTTTAATATCAGGCTTAGCCGAAAGATATTCGTCGATAATTAAATTCGCTTAAACATCGATCAAGGTAACGACTCCGAGTTATCCGAGAGAAGAAGAGACGAAAGATTTCTATCTATCGATTGCCTGGCATCGATAACAGTAAGAAATAAGAAGCGATAGAAAACTATATTTTTAACGAAATGCACGTCAAATGCACGAAATATCTGTCGCGTAACAAGCGAAATCCAGGTTGCAAACTCGCCAGAAGAAAATCGTAAAGAATTCGGGTTTCGAGGGGGAGAGCGGAAGCGGCGCAAGGTGTTCCAGCTGACTTTTCTCACTGGAATTCTCCGTGTTTCTCGTTCGTCGAACATAAACGGCAAAGTTAACGTACTTACAGTTCCCTATCGGATCCAGATCCCCATCATGTGCGCCGGTTTTATATCACCATCCCGGCCACCCTCTCTCCACGGCCCACCCTCTCACCACCACGACCTTCGCCTGTATAAGCGGCACGTAACTTTCGCATTCAAACTTTATCCCCACGCTACTTTTTGAGCACAACGTCAACTTCGCTGTTCCAACAAACTCGCTGAATTACAAATCGAACGTGGCACCACGCTGTGCTACGAAAGGGGATAAAAGTGACGCGGCGGCGTTCCAACGAACGATGAAACGGGAGAAAAAAGAAGAAGAAGAAGTTAAAAGATGGATGGATGGATGGATGAAAAGAAAGAAAGAAAGAAAGAAAGAGAGGAAAAAGGAATGAGACAAGAGAGAAAAAAAAAAAAAGAGAAGAAGGATACGAGAAACGAGTAGGATAGAAGGTTGGAAAGGAGAAGCAGAAACGAGGGGTATTTCAATCTCGTTCGTTGGCTGTAAGGCACCCCGACGCATCGAGTTCGAAAACTTTCGCTTCTCGTCTGGCTGACTGAGTTTTTCCAAGTGGTATAGAAACCGGATCCTAGTTCAGGGATCGTGCACATTTTCACCGGTTCACCTACACGCGCGCACACCCCTATATCTCTCCCCCTCCCTCCCTCTTTTGCACGCTTGGTCTCGAAAAAACGGGAATAGCCTTCCGCTTGGCAGTTTGTTTAACGAAGCGACCCGGTAACGTGGGTATTCTTTTTTCCCAACAGATAGGAGAGGGGTGAAAACTTTACCCGCTCTTAATTCTGTTTACAGTAGCGACAGAGGCCTCGTCACGAGTTTAGCGAGCGGGATAAATTAACGAGCGTGGCCATAAATTCTCGAATTCTCGAGAATTAAGAAGGGGGTGGTAGTGTCCATGAAATGCATTCGCATCGCCATTGCGAGCACGGCCGTTCAACTTGGTTATCTCGATCGGAAAATGGGACGTAGTCAGATTACATTCCTACCACTGTCAAACCCTGATCACTTTTGACGAGCAACGATCCCCGTTCAAACTCGTCGAACACTCGTCAAGGTATAGAAGAGGTAGAAAAAGGAATGGATCAGTTATCGTCCACCGTTATATACCGTCTATCGTCGGTTTGTACAACGGTGAATAGAGAAGAATAATTACCCTCAGACAGGATCGTTGCAACGCCGCGACTTTTATTATTTTATTGGAGCAAACAGAGAGCGGACGACTTTACACTCGTAATCCTAGGATAGGATAGGATCTATCGTAGGATAGATCGTTTCGAGGAAGGTTCTATAAACGGAGAGTAGGAGGGAGGGAACGATCGAAGTGGCGAGTATTTATCGCGATGCCGGAGGTGGACAGTTACGGAGGACGTCGTAAACTTATCGTTATATAATAAAGCAATGTCTTGGAGCGAGTTCTTTAACGAGGATGTTGCTCGAGGAACGATTTGAAAGCACGGTCTTCTGGAAAAGCCATAAAAGTCGACAAGGAGGACGGGACGATTCGAGGAGAGAGAACTGGAGGAACTCGGGGAAAACTGTCGGGAAGCCGTCGAAGGACGTGTACGAGGACAGTCGATGGCCTCCCGTTTTCTATAGGTGAACACGGTCGCATAGTCGGTGGCTTCTTAGATCGAGTGGGACAATATGTATCGCGCGTATGTATGGGTCGGGTTGTAAGTTGAACAGGGAAGGAAGCGGGTGAGCGAGAAAGATAAGAGGGACGTGGGTAGACTCGCTACTCCACCGATAAGAGATCACACCTAACTTAACCTAGTCTTTACCCTTGGACGAACGACCAAGGGGGCAACCCTTAAGAGCGACGTACTCCGCTGAATGGTTGATATCCCATATTTTCTTCCAGTTTCTTCTTTTTTTTTTAAACCAAACGTGCAATTTCCTATTAAATTTAAATTCGCCGCGGATATTTTGAATATTTTGAAGAAAACTATTGGAAACTTGAGAAAGCTATTTATTCGTGAAACTCGTGAAATTCTTTCTTTCTTTCTTTCGTTTCTTACGATCGATTCGATTCTTCGTGATAAGAGGATAAGAGGAGTGATTCGTGTAAACGATTCTTTAATTGGTTCGAACAACACACGAGAATAATCCGATCGTCAGTCACAAACAACAACAATTGTACACGAACGTATACCGCCGTTTTGCCAGTGACATTCCATACATTTTCCCTTCCTCCTCCGATTGCTAAAAGCGATCGATTTGCATCCGTTTTATTCCATCTCGCTGTCACCGTGCAGATCACGTTTTAAAATTATAAAAACGTGGGTGGAAAAAATAAAAAAAAAAGAGAGAAACGAACGATCTAATTCGAAGTTGAATTGAACAACAGATGAGTGATCGAAACTATTTAGATATATTTCACCGTAATTGTGGCTTAATTCGTTTCCCGACAAATTTGTTTAACCACGATCGGTCGCGAATTCACGTATCGTCCAGCGAGAGAGAAAGAGAGAGAAACAGAGAGAGAGAGAGAGAGAGAGGGAGAAATTGAGAGGCGGAGAGATAGTCTGAATCGAACGTAATTTACAAAACGAACGAATTCGTGGTACCGCGAGGCGAGCGAATCGCAAAAACACAACCCCAAATTATTTTTATTGTATATATATTTAAAATATGTGCGAGGGGAAAAAATACAATTCCTCTTTTGAAACTGCGCGATATACAAAATCAACGTCGAGGGGATGAAGGACAGGAGGATGAATGGAGGGGCAAAAAAAGAAACAGAAAAAAAAAAGGTTAAAAAAAAAAAAAAAGATAGGAAAGGGGGGGAAAAAAAAAGTAGAACGATCGCTGCAAGCTGTTGGCACAAGCCCCATGAACGATGCAACGTATATGCGCGCGCGTATATGTGTATAGATTATCTAAATGGATCGTTCCTATGCGCTGCTACATACGCCCTCGTTCACCCCTGGCTTCTTTTACCTCGTTGCTTTTAATGACGACATTACGAGCCGGCTTCAGAGCTGGCCGTTATTCGCGAATAATTTACGGCAAATATTTATCTAAGATAATTGTTCGTACAAAGTCTGTTCAATTGTACAGCCACCAGCTATCCGGATAACGGGTTTGAGTTCGTTTACATAATAATTATTTGTCGCAAATACGAGGAGGGCGTAACGGTCGATATTTGCTTCGAGTTACTTACTCGAACAAAGTTGTTTTCGCGATAACGATTCCTTTCAATTAAGAATTATTCGCTTATTAAACTACATTACTTTTCATCACGCGCGAATATTTAATACGTGATCTGTAATCGTTTCAATTTCAACGATGCTTCCAACCGTTGAAATAACGCTGAAAATTATTATTAATCATTTCCCGAAAAAAAATGTTTGATTATCGGATCGTGGAAATAAAAACTCGTCGAAATGTTCCGTTCCGTACAGTGACGCAGATTAATCGAATAAAGCTCAGCGCCAAAATTTCCTGAAATTTACGCCTCGCGGTATTCGATGCTATCTCTCAACGACTAGCAGAGAGAGAGAGAGAAAAATGATCCGCTTCGAACGATGAATTATACGAAGGAAACGATAGATCGAGAGAGAATTAATATCTCGTTCCTCTCCGATCTGAAGATCGACGCAAACAAGGTTTTAAAAACAAAGCTTTATTTGCCTATCTAGTACTGAAATTTCCAAATGTAACGCGTCAAACGCAGCTGACCCTTTTAAATTCTCTCTAAAATCGATTTTCCTCCTCTTGACGCGATAACATTATACAAACTACGATCGAATTGATCGATCTTTTATCGAAATAAATAGAGTACAATAGATTAAACGTGAACAAGAATCAAGGGATATTTAGCTTCGATCGAAATCGTAAGATCGTAATTACGAAATC